ACAAATAAGGGCAATGTGCAACGTTCATCACACTGGGTCTAGGCACACTCTGGACTCTGCGTCTAGGAACTTTCCTTCAGCTCTGCCCAGTCCACTGAACACCGTGTTTGGTTAGACCATTAATAAGAAAAGGGTAAACTGGGTGTCATTTGAGCGGACTGGCTACTGAAAGCACTCTGCAATGGGCGGAAGGCATGGTAAAAGATTTTGTCAACATCTTCAAAGGTGAGACCCCACTCCAATTAGAAGGTTTCACATACCACGAATCTCCAATCACCTCACCGCCCACACTCCTGCATGCAAACACCCGTGCCTCGCCGTTGGCGAGGAACGATGTAAATCGGCCTAGCAAGAAGAAGATTTTGCAGCAAGTGTGGGTCATCTCAACTAGAGTCTTAGTGCGTGCTATCAAGATCTATCAAGGTCTTAGGTTGGAGGCCATCGCTAGTAGGTTGTCGCAAGCTGAATGCCCTGAGGCGTCGGCCTGTTTTGGGTGCTTTCACTGGTGCCTTCCTGGCACTCTTCTGCAAGGCAGTTGTTTGCTCAGGAAGTGCATGTTACTGTGACACCGTCACAGACTGCCATGGTGTCAGCATCAACCAAGCCAGAAACGCTCGGCAGCTCGTTCTTTGACCTGGCCAATATCTCTCAGATTTGGGTGCCCTGAGGTGCCAATGTTGACTTCCATCCGACTCATCAATCTTCATGTTCATTCTATCCATCTCAAACCGCATTTCAATGAACTTCATGTTTCTTCCATACACACACTGGAGACTGAAGACACACTAAGCAAGTCCAAGGTAAAGGATAAAACCAACCATGTTCAACCATGCCAAGACCACAAAGTGTGTTTTGCTTTTCTGGTAAGAAAACTGAGCACAAAGAAACAAAAGACCCTGCTTGTGTTCAAGGATTGTACCCCCCAACCTCTTTCCGGTGCAGATCAGCGGCGCGGCGTGCCCAAGGATGAGCATCGAGCCTTGGTCCAACAGTGAGTGGGGTACTGTAAATATATTATATATATATACAACCAAATGAAGAATGATGAAGGGAAATTATCCCGGCAAGAGACCCCAAACAGTGTGTGTGTGAGGTCTAGAGGTGTAGCAGCAGAAAGTCTAGAGATCTAGACGCATTGGGGTCCAGAGAGGCGATGGTGGTGGTGAAGGTGGAGATCGTGGTGATGGTGGCGGTGGTGGTGAGTGTGACTGTGACTGTGACTGTGACTGTGAGAGAGTGAGAGACTGAGAGAGTGAGAGTGGGTGAGTGTGAGTGAGAGTGAGTGAGAGAGTGAGAGTGAGAGTGAGTGTGGTGAGAGTGTGTGAGAGTGAGTGGGTGGGTGTGAGTGTGAATGTGAGTGTGAGTGTGAGTGAGGTATAATGAGAGTGAGTGTTGAGTGTGAGTGAGGGTGAGTGAGAGTGAGTGTGAGTGTGAGCGCGTGTGGAAGTGTGAGTGTGAGTGTGAATGTGTGTGTGTCGCCCTCCGTCTCTAGGAGTTGTCAGTTTTTGCAAGAATGCAGAGGGCAGCAGGGAATCCACAGTTCTGCTGCCAACGCAGACAGCTGTGGACATTCCGCGAAGCAGATTGGGACGCCAATCTGTGTACCTGCTTCGAACACAATGACACCAACGGTCCACCCTGCCAGCGCCGCTTTTGTGTTTGATTCCATTGTGGTTCTTCGCGCTTTTTCCCCAAGCCTTTTCCCACCGCAGTTGCAGCCGCGCCGATTGTCCAGATCGTTTTTGAGTGCACTTGCAAACACTGTTGAACCATTCACCTCCGCAGACTCAGCCACCTTGCGTTTCCCTCATCCATTTAGTGGACTATGGTTAACTGAAACCCCTGTGACTAAGTGTGTATCGCTGCGTCGTCCCACTCGGGTGCACAGTGTGATCCCCCGCAAGGGGGGCGCTGAAACCATCGTGGATCACATATTGAATTTGCATTTTCTGCACACGTTGGACAATGGTTCTGGAAACCCTTTTGTTTCACCCATGAACCAACTGATCGCAAAGCGGCCGCGCCTACGGAGTCTCTTAATACTCCGCAAACTTTCAGTGCCAAAGCTCGTTCACTTGCTTTTTCATGCAAGCGACCTTTTTCGTGTCATGATCAGATTGCCATGCCTTTGCAAGTTTCTTCCATGTTTCACTGGTGATTTCGCATACAATTTTCTGAATGTTTAACCGTTGACCTCTACATTCTACATCCAAAAAGGACATGCAGCAACTGACTGCAAGCGTTTTTTGAAAGGCAGAAAAAAGACCTTCACCGCACAGCTCGAGAGCGCCGCTAAGCGGCTGCGTGTGTGCGTCGCCCTCCGCCTCTAGGAGTTGTCAGTTTTTGCAAGAATGCAGAGGGCAGCGGGGAATCCACAGTTCTGCTGCCAACGCAGACAGCTGTGGACACTCCGTGAAGCAGATTGGGACGCCAATCTGCGCACCTGCTTCGAACACAATGACACCAATGGTCCACCCTGCCAGTGCCGCTGTTTTGTTTGATTCCATTGTGGTTCTTCACGCTTTTTCCCCAAGCCTTTTCCCACCGCAGTTGCAGCCGCGCCGATTGTCCAGATCGTTTTTGAGCGCACTTACGCAAACAATGTTGAACCATTCACCTCCCCGGACTCAGCCACCTTGCGTTTCCCTCACGTATTTCCCTGCGGACTATGGTTTACTGACAACCCTGTGACTAAGTGCGAGCGTGAGCGTGAGTGAAAGACTGAGAGAGTGAGAGTGAGAGAGTGGGTGTGAGAGTGCGAGAGTGGGTGTGGGAGTGAGAGTGAGCGTGGGTGTGAGTGTGAGTTGGAGTGTGAGTGTGAGTGTGAGTGAGAGTGAGAGTGAGTGTGTGGAAGAGTGAGTGAGTGTGAGCGCGAGTGTGAGTGTGAGCGTATGTGAGTATGAGTGTGAGTGTGAGTGAGAGTGAGAGCGAGCGGTGAGCATCTGAGAGCACTAAATGCGCCTGCCACGAAATCTGCACTCCGAGGTTCACAAAGTGCTGCACCTACGAAAACTGCACACCTGTCACGAAATCAGTACTTGGAGGTTCGCAAAGCGCTGTGCCTGCCACGAAATCTGCGCGTCGAGGTTGACAAAGTGCTGCGCCTACGAAAACTGCACACCTGTCACGAAATCAGCGAGGTTCACAAAGCGCTGTGCCTGCCACGAAATCTGCACATCGAGCGAGGTTCACAAAGCGCTGTGCCTGCCACGAAATCTGCACTTCGAGGCTCACAAAGTGCTGCGCCTGCCACGAAATCTGCACTTCGAGGTTCACAAAGTGCTGCGCCTGTCACAAAATCCGCACTTCGAGGTTCACAAAGCCACGACGAATTCTGCACATCGAGGTTCACAAAGTGCTGCCCCTGTCACGAAATCGAGCCTGAGTATTAAGATCCGTGAAGGTCACCGTTTTGGAAGCTTGGGCGCGCGCGCCCTTTTGAGCTCTAAAAACGGCTGTCGGAGGCGCGCGCGCACGGACCCAAAGCCACACGTCGAAAAGACAGGATTCGCTGCACCTGTCACGAGGTCAGAGCGCCTCGAAGATCACCACCATGTCCAAAGTGCTGCGCCTGCCACGAAGTCCGCACTTCTAAGTATGATCCCTTGCACCTGTCACCAAAAGTCGACTTTGGACCACCAAAACATGAGGTTTCCCTTGTGCCTGCCACGAAAAGTGACCACCATGTCCGAAAATGCGCGCGGCCACAACGAGAGCGCAGTCGCGAGAAGCACTCGCTCCAGCCACCCAGATTTCGCGAGCCTGCGCAGTCGAAATGCACATCGAGGATTTCGAGAGGCATGAATGTACTGTAAATAGCAGCGAATTAGCTGTCCACGGCCGCCAGCGATCTAAGCACAGCTGCTTAACACCTACCGTAAGAACCCCTAAGTGTGTCCACACTGTTTGGGGAAAAACTATCAAATACCAATTTATATATATATATACAGCCAAATGAAGAATGATGAAGAGAAAAAGACTACGTATCAAATACAAGTTCATGCAAAGACCAACATGAACCTGCGGAGAATGTACCTTCTGCCTGGCCAGGTGACCAACAATCCGCCGCAGTTGGCGCATTCGTGAATGGTACCAACGTACTGGGCCCCTGATCGAGTGCCGGTGATCCCAAGAAACACCATGTCTCCGGGCCAAAGCTCCGCCACTTCAATCATTTTCTCTTTGGCACTTTGCTCCTGGATGCAAGATGCGTCAGTGACAGGTTTGGAGTGGCCTTGAAAAATGAAAGGAATCCAGATTTTCAGAAGGGGAGTCAAGATTTGTTTCCCAAACCTGAACGTTTTATACAAGGTCGACGGGTCCAAAAATAGTTGACATGGCTTCAGAATGAGATGTCCCTGTCTTTCGGAGCCAGTTTTGAATGTGCATCATGTTGCTTCAATTTGTGGGCCGCCTGTATATCCATATACCAACTTCTGCCGGCGCTGTCTAGGATCACATCAAACGGGCAACAACCGTGAGGCTAGCAAGGGCCACTGCAAAGAAAGGCCTGCACCATGTATTTAGATACATATTACAACATATTACAACCGTCCTGAGACGGAGCATCTCCCAGGAGTACTTGACGCAAGGGTATATCCTCAGCTGTGCAATGTTGACGGGTTGCCGGACTGCGTGTCGTCGCCTGGGACCCTTGCGGCGGCATTTTCCAGCTTGTCCCGCATGGCGCCGGATAAAGTGTGTAAAGTCTTTGAATAACCCGACGATTAAGCAAGTGTGCTAAACAAACACCTTGTTGTGGCCCCTTAAAAACATTCTACACCCTTCGCGATGCTGGGAGGCGATAGCAAAAATGTCATCGAAGGTTATACCTTTGGGCCACCTGAGCATCTGTGGCAGTAGTGTTCAGCGCTTGGACAGAAACATCTGCAGAGGAACACAAATATGTGTTTTTAAATCACGTGTGACCTTGGTGCACATGTCGCGAAAGGGAAAACAAAGACTTCAGTGATCTTAAAGACTGCAGCTTGCAGCGGGTCCATGTTCAGGATGCAGCGATTGCAAATACTACCTCAGCTGGGTTCGATGAACGTTCTGCCATCGTTGAGACATCTGCCCTGGCTGGTTTGTTGCTGGCTGGCTTTGCACACAAGTTGTACTAGAAGCCTCTAGGCACCTTGTTGAAGGGCCATGCCGGCTCTTTCTTTGATCCACAGAAATGACTGCCAACAATAGGGTGAGGGGCCAAAAAGTATTGTAAGAATACAGTAGCATCAAGAAAAAGTATTTGACGGGGATCAAACAAAAAAGGTGATCCAAAAAGTATTCCTAGTGAGCAACGAAAGTAAAAAATCGGGAAAACACAACAGCACCAGGGCAGGCGACAAAAGGATCAGGCAGTCCCCCTGCAAAGCAAACCAAAACACACACAGAGAAAAACAAAACAGAACGAAAGGTTGGAGATAGCAAAGGTGGGCCCTATCATCCACCAAAGGACAATGAAAGGATAATTGCAACACATAATAATCAATATCAATCAATAATAAGACTTAGGCGAGGGCATGCAATATTCAATATGTGGTGTGGAGATGCGATGGGTGACAATTGAAAAATCTGTTGTGGCAGGCACAGTGCATTGGCAAAAGTAGTGCAAATTCGTTTTGCGGAGAAGGGTTGGGGGGAGGGCACCAAGAGCAAACCAAAAAGTCACCAGAGCGCACCAAAAAGCAAAAGCCACCAAACTCACAAGGCACCACAAAGTAGAATGAAGGGCACCCAGAAAGTGACACAAGGACCAATGCAACTGAGTAGCTTTTTTGTTTTGGAGAGGTGGCGCCACGTTTACAATACCAAAGGACCAGGAGACCAAAGGATCAGGGGACCAACGGACTAGGGGACCTATTCAGTGAGGATAATTTTTGTTCGTTGATCATGTTCCTGTTTTTGGATCTAGATGCCCAACGATATTGGGACGAAGACCCAGCTGGATTGACCTCCAGTGCCCCCTACTTGTAGAAAAAAGGTTTGTCGAATTCTGCAAGTCAGGAAGTCAAGAAGTGTGTGCTACTGACATTGTCAAAACCCAGATCCATGATTCATCATGATTCAGTACTCCAACCACCCTCCATCGGCAAGTTGCAGTGGTGTGTCCGGTCAGGCTTCCAGACCTTACTGCGCAAAATTCCTGTTTGGTACCAGAATTGCAGAATGTAAAGTACGAATCAATAGGTTTCAACCCCAATTCAGATAATTTATGTGGCTTCTTTGGTGATTCTTTAGCTATGGAAAACCACCCACATTACCTCGGGTCATGAAACCCAGGCTATGCCCAAGCTGATGAGTTTTGCCGTGCATGTCATAGCTGCAACCTGCAAAAGCAAATCCATCAACTGGGATGCAAGCGTTGCACATTTTGCAATACCTGGCACACTGTGTTGATGAACAGCAATGGATGCAACTGGCAATGTCAAGCATTCTCCAATAATTCAGCTAAAGCCCACCTCTGATTAATAAATAGGGGGTCCCCCCCCTGAATGACCTCAAATAGCCTAAAAAATTGTTTCAATATTGATTGGTAGTGTTGGCCTTACTTTTTTGGAACTACATGGATTGAAATTGGATTAGCAAGGCATCCAGTGGGAAATCCAGCTCAAAGACATTTACAGTAGCTTTATTTAGAGGTATGTGTATATATATAATATATATATATGTATTTAGTATGTTGTTGTTGGATCAGTTGTGGTTCGGATTAGATTGATTGATTGTAGGTGGACACACTGTTCTAATCCTTTACCACCATGTAGTAAGGACTAACCCACCATCCGAAGTGCAGCCCACGCCTTCTTCTTTTCGTCTCGTCACCCATGTAAAAGCCCCAGTTCGGAGGCACTACGCCCGGATCTGTCATGACACACCTGAGTCGTCACTGCTGATGGACATCCGTGCTCGGATTACACCAAAAGAGCTATTTGCTCCTAGTAGTGTGGCCAGGAGCCCCTAGCAGCGTCCTTGCTCCTAGTAGCGATGCCAGGAGCGCCTAGTAGCTTCTGTTCCTAGTAGCTCTGAGAAACAAGCTGATAAAACGATGCTAGAAGATTCACAAAGAAGATGTGGTAGACAAAGAGGACAGCTGCAGCATGCGGTGCCTGCGGGGCGACTGCGCTGGAACGATTGTTACAAGAACACATGCTTTTGATGGGTGAGGTTGATACACCTAGTGTATTCTATATGTGTATAATTGTGTATATATATAACTATATATATATATATGATTGAGCCATACGAGCCTGTCTTTCAAAACACTGGGGAGGTGCAAACAAAGTAGCCGGTTTTGACCCCCCGAGCTCTTCTGGGACAATACAAAGCAAGCATTTTTTCCTGCACCTGTGCTGTGATTTCTCCAGCAGAGGTCAAACAAGACTGTGAAACACAAGAATTGTTCCTCCAGGCCATCTACTCCGCGTCTGCCTCTCAGGTTTCTTACTGTGAAGCGACTGCGCTGGCTCAAAGCCAACTAAATTCCGAAATCAACGCCAAATTGATCCAAATTTCACCAATTTCTTCGATTCATGTCATGGCTCTGAAAACGCGACTTCCAACCCAAGGCAGGCTCCAGCCACATTTGCTGCCGGAACACGAGGGCCAGCCAAAGCCCCGACTCTTGGGTCCTAACTACTCTTCTGCCTCTTCAGCTTATCTTCTCACCGTGTCATTGGTCGACTAGTCCTGCATCTGGGGCGGCAGCGAACTGCACCGAATGACATTGTTGGTGGTTTGATGTCATTCCATTAACTTGTGCTCTTGGGGCTCTTGGCTTTGCATGTGGCAAGCAAAAGCCGCACCAAGGCTTAAAGAGTACGAGGTAAATCGGTAGCTCAGTAGCTGCAGTGTCACAAACAATTTCTCGATCACATCAAAATCCTGCTTTCTTCTTTGAGGCATTCTACACGCGCAGGGACCGTACCCAGAAACTAAAACTTTCACCCACGGCACCTGGCGGACATAGGAGGCCGAGCCAATGGAATCACCTTGCCCTTACCTCAAGGTCGGTGGCTCAGCTGAGTGGATTCAGTGGGATGTGGTGGCATTGAATGAGTGACAACTCAGAATGGGTCCGATCTTCTGGATTTGACAACTTGACTGGGAGCTTGGCGAGTGAAATATTTGGACGGCTCAGGTGTCCTCCGGCGCCTCGGACACACCACGGACAAAAACGTTCAAAACACGAGAAAAGCGGGTTGAGACAGGATTAAGCGAGGGATAGTTTGCCGATGTGTGAGGGTGGCTCGACAGCTTCAAGAGTCAACAGCTTCAGCTGGGAGCTAGGCCATGACTGCACTCCCTTCCCAAGTTCCTCAGGACAAAGAGCTGAGCTTTAAACAAAGTCCAAGGTAGCTCATCTAAGCCAAATCTTCTGCTGGTGAGGCCTTTGATTGACATCCAATCCCCAAAATGTGAGATTCCCCTGTATTTGGAGCTCAGCTTCAAGGGATGGACTCAGTCAGAATTTCAAGCCCTCCAGAAAGGGACGCTGTCAATGAGCCCGGATTCCGGAGAAAGTCCCACAGCACTCATCAATGCCAAGCTGCTAATGCTCGTCGTTGAAGAGAATTGCATAAGTCTAAATAGCTGAACTCCCTGCCACTCGCATCGCAATAAGCCTGCCACAAACACACGGAGACAGACAGACAGACAGACAGCCAGCCAGCCAGCCAGCCAGGCAGGCAGGCAGGCAGGCAGACAGGCAGACAGGCGGACAGGCGGACAGGCGGACAGGCGGACAGGCGGACAGGCGGACAGGCGGACAGGCACAGAGAGAGACAGAGAGAGACAGAGTCACGCGCAACACGACACTCGACTTGGACATGAAAAACCAGGGCCCCTTAAGTGGCAAGTGGACTGATCGCTGCCTCCATAAGCACCTGCAAATGACACTGGTGGAGTCCCATCTGCAGCATGTCCATGATCCGGACGAACCTGGCACGTGCCATGTTGCTTGCAACTGCCTGCAGAATACCAAAGCCCTAAAAAGCCCCTAAGCTATCCAGTTGGAAGGCTCGGCGAGGCGAGCCTTCACCTTCAGAGGGTTGGGTGAAAAGTCCGTATAATCCATACAAACATCAGACTGTGTTTGTGCAATCATTCATTCCACCCTCCCTAGCCCACCAATGAACCTGTGTTCTGGCACTCAGGTCTTTTCCTCACAACAGCTTAGAAGGCACTCCGGCGCTGCGCAAGAGCTCGCGGAGGAAATCCTGCACAAAGAGGTCAGATGATGGGTATCATTCTATCGAACACAAGCGTTCCTTCTCTGGGTCCATTTCTTCCCCCTATCCGAAGCCATCGAATCGACTCGGTCGGAGCTTTCGAGTCACTTTGACGCCTGTCTGCGGTCTGTTGACGCATTCCAAAGATTTGGTTATACAATATACAGTGTATATATATATACATATTAATTAATATACAGTATTACATAGTATTACATGTTACTGCTCCCAGTGCGATTCTCCGAAGCAAACAGGATCTTAGAATATCCTAAGCTGCTTTGTGCTTCGCATGAAAGTAAGTAGTTCAGGATAACCTCATGCAACTCTACCTCCATATTACACCCATGCAGCGCTTACCACGGTACACCAGCTTCACTTGGCTCCAACCGGCCGTTGACTCTGCGGGGTCGGTCCCTCTTTTCTCGGCTGTCGGGAAGACTTCGCCAGAAGTCTTCAGGGACGACCTCAGGGGTTGCAAATGGTTGCAGTATGGTGCATCTTGCAAAGTGACCTTAGTGTCACCCTAATAAGGCTCACCTGGCAAAGGTCCTGGTCATTGGCATGTGGGGTTTCCAAAATGTTGAACGTCAGTGCACGCAACTGGGGCAAGAGAATGAAAGCGATGCAGATTTACAACGCAATGTCGGAGAGAGAAATTGCGCTGCACTTGGTGTGGGGCGGCTATTCGAAAGCCGTGCCTGAGCCAGGCAGCCAAACTTCCAAAGGCTTTCCGTGCTCTCTATCTCGGTCTCTTCCAAGCTCCGAGCTTCTGCAGCAAGTAACGCTTTAGCAGAATAGGTCCTTTCACCTGCAGTGAAGCGGGAGCATCTCAATCTTCCTCTGCTTCCTGCCAAAAGAACACCATAGGCTTAGACTGCACAGGGACATGTGAAAAAGTCTTTCACTGACTCCCTGCCCTACAAGATCGCAAATGGATCGCAAGCAGTCACGCATGACTCATGTGTCGGTTCTTCATCCTTCTCGCAAGGCTCGGCCACCCAACCCGTGAGATTTGAGATGGCGAAGGTCCGGTGAGATCCAGCCTAAGCTTCCCATCCAGCCATCGGCTCTGGAACCAGAATCATCAGCATCTCGTATATAAGCCCTGAAATGTTACCAGAGTTTTCATACATGTCATCCAAAAGATTCCAAAAGGCTCAGCAAGGTTTCTGTTTATGGATGATCTGCCAACACGAACCATTTCATCCAGGAGAGGAACGGCAATCGCAGTCAAAATACGACAGAGCAAGGAATGAAATTTCCTGCACATCCAGCTGCACGGTGCCTATGACATGTTTAGATCACGCCATTATCGCCGTCATTACGTCCAAGACCTGGGCACCCCCGCGTTCGCATCAAGGAATGCGAACCATCGACCTTCCGAAACGAAAACGCAAATCACCCAAGTCACAAGAAGCTACTAGTAACAAGGTGCCATGCTTGTACTAACAGGTGCCTTACTAGTAGTAACAAGAAGCCATTGGAATTAATTTAAATTCTAATTTAATTCTAATAGCTTTTTCTTACTACTAGTAAGGCACTTGTTACTACTAGCGAGGCACCTTGTTACTACTAGCGAAACACAAATCAGTGCAGGACGCCTCAACAAAGACGATTGGCTTGGAGCCTTTCTTGGTGACTGCAATGTCCACAGCCATACCCAGCCTGGTGGTGCTCGCTCAGAGTTCCGATTTTGCTGAGCTGCAACAAGCAAAAGAAAAGAAAAGTCTGACAAATCGATGTTGTGGGTCAGTACCAATCCTAGTCAAGTCCCCACTACAGGTATATTATGTTTGTGAAGGCCTTTAGTGGTGTCCGTGTTGACCCACAACCATCGACATTGGTTGTGCTTCCCTTCATCTGAGGCAGCTTCTCTGTTTGATGCTGTCGCGAGACGGACCCCGTGACCACCTTCTGAAGAGAATCTGCAATATCCTGGCACCGGGAGTTGCGGCCAAATGGATGCAAAGCTAAATTCAGGTCAGAAGTTCTCAAAACCCGTTGTCCCTTTTGATGGTTGGTTGATCACAGAATAAGTGAATCCTTCCTCAATGACGCTAGTTCAACTGCCAAGCTTTGCCTAACATAACGCAGCGGCTTGGACAAACTGTCATGTCAGCAATAATGTAGTGATGGCAGCGATGGCTCTAAGGCTTAGAGAATGAGCAACCCAGTACTAGTACTAGTACCAAAAGGTGCTCTGGATCAACAAAGCACTGCTCTTTTCTTCCACCGGCCGTATCGGTTCAATCCGGCTTGAGAGTCTCATCACACCGCGCTTAAGATCGGAGTTCTTTCGGAGGGCGAACTCAACTTCAGTAGCCTATTGGCTTGTTGTAGCCACCTTGGTCAGGCATCAGAAAATCTCGCCCTGCAAATATAGATGTTGTCATATTTTGTCTAAATGTTCCACCAACAATTCCTGCTTCTTACACCGAACATCTGGCATACTTCGTCCGACTACCTCTGCTGGGGCGCCGTGGCGAGAAGAAGGCAGCGATCACGAGTCCTACGACGGAGGCCACGAGGACGAACTTGTGTAAGTTGGACTCCGTCGAGGCCTTCGATCCTGGTTCGGTCTGACGGGAAGGAAGAGCCACAAACGTGGCTGTTGACGGGAGGAACGGACGAACCATCGGAC